ACCCTTTAATTTTTGGAAATTTTTAGTTTTACTTTAAAATTAATATTTTGCAGTACCGGAATTGTCTGTAAGCTTCCAATGATATTCTTAAATAAATTGTTTTGCAATGACCCACCTCTCGGTTTCGGTCCGTTTCACATGCTGAGATCCTGCTTGCGATATTTTTTATTTCAATAGAACCATCGCTTGTGGGGCAAAAAAGAAGAACATTAAAATAACTACATTCCCGTGGGGTAGATTTTTACAACTCATCTAAATGCTCGCGTATTACAGCAATCGAGGTGCGTGCAAAGAACATCTCGACACATGCACGTGTGGCCCGTCCCTGGCGATGTGCACGTCTTTTTTGGTGGTGGAATACGACATTTTCATTCTGCATCTGGTTATTTTCAAACGCTTTTTCGGCCTGTGAGGTTTTTAAAAAAATTGCGCTTGCAACTGGAAACGGCTGACACGAAGGCCCATGGATATTTGTTGCATGACACACTCGCCATTATTCCTTCAGAGTGGTCGGGCTGGACTGGAGAATGTCATATCGCCCGTGCGGTCAAAAAGACGTGCAGGCCACACTGACCGGGAGGGGGGGAGGGTCGTGTTTTTTTAAAGGCTTTAAAGGGGGCGTGCAACGATATTCCGTTGGCACAAGCTTACTTGCACCTGTGGGACACAGGCAAACTTGCACGCAATGCCACTGACCTCAATAACACACCAGCTCACTTGTGTCCTCAAGTTTTGTTCAGTAATACTACTACTACTATCGCTACTACTACTAATAATAGTTATAATAATTATATTAGTTACAATAATATTAGTAATAGAAAATAAATATAATAAAACTATTGTTATTGAGGAATGCGGATGCGGCAGAGTTTATGTCCGACTGGTCAAAGTCAGCTAGTGCTTGTACGACCAGGTCCAGAATTATTATAGAAAAAACAACTTATTAACTGTATTAATGAACAAGTCTTCAGCAAGAAAGTCGTAAACGTAGAAAAATCTTCGAACAGCAGTAGAGGCTTTAATACACGACGTTTCGGGAAGAGACTTCCCTTCTTCAAGTGTGCAGAAAATACAGTTGCAAAGCGCTTTTTGGAGAGACCAAAGGAGAGGAGGAGCATTGGAAAAAGCGAAAGAAAAAAGTCATGTATAATAGTACAAGTAAAAACACTTGAGCATGAAAAAACTACATTCCAACAAAACACATATAAAAAAGAAAAAAGAGAGAAGTGGTAGTTTTAAGGGTAACATGGTCGCGGCACTCGTTAGCGAAACCAAGAAAATACATTACAGGCAACGGCCTCCGTCACGTTAGAGTTAGAGCTCCACCAAATGCAACAAAAAAAAGACGTTTACAGCATTCAAATATTAGGCCCATACTGAAACAGCGTAGAGTTATTAGCAATGTTGGAGATGAAGTATACAATGAGGAACTAAGTAAAAGAAAACATACACACGCGCGCCCATTCCCACGTGGAAAGCGTTAGTATGAAGAGGAGTGTGCTTGCTGGAGATGGTGGATGAGATGAATTCGCATCTCATCCACCATTATTTTTATTTGAGAATAAAAACTCTCTCGCTCGCACACACACACACACATATGCATGTCCACTCTACTACGACGCAGTCTTCAATAAAAAAATCTTACAGACATGCTCTCAGACTGCCGCGATGCGGTCTTGAAAGTTCGGAGAGGTCTCTGTAAATAGTTACATTTCAACAAAGAAAAAAAAAAAACAGTTACAGTTAGAGGAAAGGAACCTCAAATTTGCGTGTTGACCAGAAAAAAAGAAGGAAAAACAGACAGTACAAGGACAAAAACATACAAAATAAGGTAGTTCATTTGAAATTCCGAATCCGTTACGTCATTGAGTATGCTCGTCTGCAAAAATGACAATAAACAAGGTGAAAATAACTGCTCAGACAGGTTTCCCATTGCAATCAAGATCGCTGTCACAACACATGAGAAAACATGGATCTAAGACTTTCCTTTAGTGCTTTGTTTGAAAAAAAAAACAATGAATCTGCAATAGTATTTCCAGTGTTTGGCACACAGAATGCGTACACACTTTCACTATAACAAGTTCTTGCTCTTGGGATTTGGAAACGGGGAACTGCTCGAAGCTCACGAAGTAGGGCGGATGTGATTTTAAACTCGCTCTCCCGAAAGTGTTTCCAGATGACGGTTTGTAGGAATAGAAAGAAAAACAACGGCAATTAGAGTGAGGCGAACAAGTTACCACTCTATGTGTGTTCTGTGCGATAAGCAACATCTTTTAGAATACCTCTCAAATTGCAATCGGTCCTTGTGTATCATAAGAGAGGACAATTGACGAAGACAGTAATGCCATACCTCAGTATACTAGAGCATGCGTAATGTTTCTACTTACAGATAAGGAAAGGAAACACTTTATATTGTACATCAGACAAAAAACAGTTCTGAACCGTTGACATAAGACACATCTGTGCTCGACGATAAATCGCAATCATTGTGAATGCTTAGGCACGTTATGAAGCTAACGTAATGGACAGGCTCAAAATTTGTGCATAGGCAAAGGGAGTCATAAAGAAAAAGTGAAGAAGACAAGTTGACGCCTTTCAGAAGACTGCAGAAACATAAAAGTTTAGTTTTAAAAACGTTCACTCGGAGCTTGTTTGTCGTTAAACAGTCCATCGGTTTTATCACGTCTGCCTGAAGTATTTTAACCGCACGTTGATATTAGAGATGTTGAGGAAATATAACAGTGTCGTCAGCGTATTCCAGTACCGTGGAACATGTGGTTACAGTTGGTGGATCATTGACGTAGGTGTTAAACAATAACGGTGATAGAATAAAGCCATATGGGGACCCCAGATGTCAAGCACATTTGGGGGTTGCAAGAATTGCACAGAAAAACAACCTGGGTACGATTCATGTGAAAATGCTTGAGCAATGAATGGAATGGCCTATGGAAGCCCATCCTATATAATTTATATAAACGTATGTCATAGCTCACAGTATCAAATGTCTTAGCTACGTCAATGAAGAGCGCATACATGTGCATACTTTTTTTTAAAAGAGTAATGCAAAGCGTCTGATAAATTTTCATAAAGATGAATGGTGCCTCGACCAGCAATAAACCCATATTGACTTGGCGAAATTACGGAGTGTTTGTCATGGACACCAGTCATAATAACAAAGATATGTGTCTCGAAAATCTGGGATATGCAAGAAAGGATTGAAATAGGTCTGTACGAAGAAACTTTCTCTAATACGCCACCCTTGAAAAAAAATTTTTTTTTTTTTTTTGACTGGCATTGCGTGGAGAAAGGAACCAAAGCGTGTCTAATTGGTCATGAATGCCAAGGAATAAGTTTAGGAGGAAATTACTAAAAGTACAAAAATTGTTGTATCATCACCTTAAAGTTGCCGAGCAACAATTTGTGGACTTCGGTCGAATAATTGCAGGAGCTCTTCCCGCTCGGGACTGGATTAAAGAACTGAAAACCAATTTTGCGAGCGCGCGTTAATTGTCTTTTAAAAACTGGAAAACAGTGGACATTTTGGACGCTTTCCAACCACTCTCAACTCTTACACTGTCTTCCGAGTCACGGACACAGTGACGTGTTCCCGGGTTCACTAGGGAGTATCCGGTCGGGCTCTCTCTCAGAGCCTTCAGCGCGCGCGGCCTCTGCTTGCGATTCACATGGCGAACGTGAAGATTGGTCTGACCGAGATGGATACGGGCCGAGAGGGAAAGAAGAGGGGCGGGAGGGTGAAGTGCTTGCCTTGCTGTAAGAAGGTCGAAAGTCTCTGCGACAGGTTAAGAGTTCAGGGGAAACTCCTCCCACCTCTTTCCACTTCAGCAGAGCAAACGCTGGGGAGGGGGAAACCTCCTCTCCTGCATTCGCTCCACTAAAGTGGAAAGGGGTGGGCGGAGTGTCTCCTAAACTCTTAACATATCATTGACTATAGTAGCACTGGGTTCAGGCCGTAGATGAGGCTCAAGGGAGGGATTTTTTTTATTTTTTTTTTACCTCTGGCAGATGGCGCCACTAAAACTATATGAAGTACCATTTTGTAGAGGATATGAGGCTTTTGACGCATTTATTCATGTTAAAGGGACAATTTTTATCAAATTTAGCATTATATTGAATATATAAATGGCACATCTTGCCTACATACTACAATGCACCCAGGTGTGTGCCACGGAATAGTTCTCATGGCCGCCACCTCGCGGCAGCCCATCGCGAAATATTTTCGTTTATTTGGTTTGCTATCACGCAACGGAATCACAATGTTTCAAAAGAATGTGGCGGTTTCTTCATCATTTTTGGTAAGATAAACAAGGTAAAAATAAGAGCTGCATTCCTTTCGAAGTTGTTGCATCGCCCCTTTTAATGCATAATGCCCGCATTTCAGCCTTGGTGTTGGAGCTTGCACTTAACGCGGTTGATGTGAACTGGTTGGATCATAAAAACTCTTCATCTTGAGACACAAGAGGCAACGTTGATGCAGCCTATGTTTATGCGTTGCGACGACAAAGAGCAAGACGAGAAATCTATATTGTTTTAAACGTTATTTGGACGAAAATGTTCGCTTTACCAAAAGTCCGGAAAAAGCTTTGTGGGGAAAAAACTTGTAGAGGAAGGCAGGATCATGTCGTACCATTTTTTCTTAATTTGTGTCCGGTCAAGTTAGATGAATTCTATCTAGAAAACGAGTTATTTGAAATACTTTGAATGTGTTTTGAACCTCTGTGTTTATTGCATTGATGCCGCTTGTCAGCGTTATTTAGGATATGTTTATTGTTTCACATATTGCTTTTTGAGCACCTCATTATTAGAGAGCCCAATATTTTTTTAACTAAGAAATAAAGAAAAATTCTACCGGTAAACGTTCATCGAGAAAACAAACAAACTCGAAAGTACCTTCATCAGGCAAGCATACAAACCGTGCGTGAGGATGACAAGAAGAACCCTGTTTCCTTTGACAAAACTCGCGTCGAATTTGTTCACTGCAGTGTCGGACGTGCAGTGCCCCGACGGAGGCAGTTGCCCCGACGGTCAGACGTGCTGCCAGCTACAGGGCGGGAGCTACGGCTGCTGCCCCTACGAGGATGCCACTTGCTGCTCCGACGACGTGCACTGCTGCCCCAGCGGATACGAGTGCGACACGGCCACGGCTTCTTGCCGCAAGGGAGACATCTTGGCAGCAGCCTTGAGAAAGCTTCCGGCAAGGAGACCACTGTCGCCGATCGTGAACGACGCAACGCGTACGTACTGCGATCTCCTACAAACATGGGCTTCAAAGGGACCATGAAACCATTATCTAACCTTCGCTGCACACTGCTTCAATCGGTGGGGTGGTGCCCATAGAGCAAAATATTAATGTTTGCGGTGTGCTTCTTCTAGAATAACATGACATGCTCAGATACCAGGGTTGCTTTGAGGGTGGTGATAGACTAAACTATCGGAGCACATGCAATTACTCTATAGGTGGCGACACGCTTTGACCAACAGGGCGGGTTCACATCGGAGCCTGCTGCTTTCCATTGTGGGGCCATAGTTGGTGCGTGGAGGAACTGTTTTTTAGCGAAGGTCGGAGTACATTGACCAAATCTAGCGCCGACGGGTACAGTCGGAAGATTGAGCTAATACATCCTAGAGCCACTGTATTGGTCCGTGTATTTAGCTGAAAAACATTAAGTACATCTAAGCTCATGACCCTGGAGGGGTCTTAAACTCACTTGATTGTGGAGGCCAGATAACCCACCCCCGAAAAGTCGAGGGCCAACGTAAGGTGGGAGGGTAGAAAGAAGGAGCAGGAGGCGAGGGAGGTTCAGTAACTTTTATAGAGGGACCTCACGCTTATTGTTTTGTGTAAACTCGCATGTCTTTATAGGACTCTTTTAAGCGCTTACCTGATGTGATGACAAGAATTAAAATGCCAACGCCCACCAACGTGCTGGCACGGTTTCGTTAAACCAAACGAGCAAGCATACTGCAGTTCCCGTTTCTCCATAGACAATATGCGGAACATTTTGGTAATCTGTCTGCGCTGTGTGCGCGGCCATATTGGTGGCGCCAAATTTTTTGAGTTTCCGTTCCTCATTATTTCCGGGCCAGAGACGCTTTGCCACTGATTGTGACTCGGCAACTTTATTTTTTACCGTCTTCCGATCACCCATCGTGAACAAAGGACTTGGCCTGCATTCCTTTCATTTATGAGGACAATTACATATTTTTTTCTTTGATGCGAAAACGCATGAAGTTTCACTCTTTAGCGGTAGAGTGCTCCATCCAATACATGCGATTCAAGGTTAGTTTTTTTTTAAAGTTATTACCTGTGAAATTTTTAATTGTTGGAGAGCTCAGAGTTCTCCTAAAAAAACTGTGCCGTGGGCAATATATTTGAGGCATTGCAAAAAGCTCAAATTTGTTTCAGATAGTATCGACCTCAAGCATAGTTGATGGATGTCGCGCCGATTAACGAAGATTTTTCAACCCTGGAAGAATGAAAGCATTAACTTTCCCCAAAACTACCCGCCGTGTCTCTTTGCACTAAAAAAATACTGTCCCCATCTGCAAAAAAAAAAAAAAAAAAAAAAATTTAGCACGTGAAATGAAGTTGGCATTGCCGGTGCTGCTCCACCCGACGTCTGCAGCGTAGCTTTTTGCCGCCACCGACATCGTAATTTTAGCCACTGCAAGCTACAGAATTCAAAGCGAGTCACCGCGATATCCGGGCTTCAAATGCCGCATGGCAATGAGTTCAAGGAGAAACGTGGCATCGCGGCATTCGAACCACGGTGACTCGAGTTTGCAGACTGCCATTGTATGCTGTATGAGCTGAGTGACCCCGGATTAAGGGGGGACTCACCCCCCATTTATTTGTAGCCTTTTCCTCATAAACGGTGCAGACTTTTCCAAGAAAAAAAAGAAACAATTTGTATGCTCGCAGCTACGAATGCAGGTCGGAAGCTCGGGGTGGGCCAGGGCCACGGGCTGTTCGCCGCCGACCTAGGCGAGCTAAATTTTGGTCGTCCGGCGTCCTTCACCACCAGGGGCACGAGCCATATAGGGGGCTATTCACTGGACGCCATATTTGAGGGCGCTGTTAAGAGCGCTTGCTCTGAACGAGGTGACGTTAATAGGCTGCCAGGACCGGCAATATGGATGGTGTAGAATGCACGTTGCAAAAGACCTGCGGAAGCTTGTCATCACCATGCGCTGAGAAGTCGCGTACACAGCAATGGCCGCCGGTGAATACACCCTGCAGTCTAAATGGCTCTGATTTCCGAGTGGCTCCGGTGTTGAAAGTTGGCACCACGTTCGAACCATTCAAACGTATTTTCTGAACACCTTAGTTGCTCATGTTACTGTGCGTTGGCAGTGCACTCGGGTTTTCAGCGTTCGCGAGTACGTCATTACTGTGCTGATGACGTCAATGACGTAACTGTTGCATTGTTACTATTTATTGGCTTTGGCGGCGTCCATGGATTCTTTGTTACATGGAATTTGGTTTCCGATGAACACGCGGCGGCGTGCTGTAATACATTTTCTGAGGGCGAATTTTGTTGTTAATTTTTGCTCCACTGAGTTCGGCAATTTTCTACAGTTTTGTTTTTCGCACACTTCTTAATTTTGTTTTAGAGTCACCATGCCTCGCTGTATATATTGCACCAAACGATAAAAACAAAAACAGTTCTAGCGTGTGTTAAGCCGTTGGCAAGGCACGCGACTGCCACGTGGAGAACGGCGTTCAAGCCCCTCTCGTCTCTGTTTTCTTTTTTCTTGACTTTTCATCTTTGCTCTTTTGAAAAGGTCAAGACCATTTTCTGCTGTCATTGCGCGTTATGGTTCGAAACGTCCACGAACGTGCATGTTGTATAAAAGCAGCGGTTACACGTTGCTTCAAGGCAGTCGCTCTTCCGTCCCCAACGCAAGAGACTCATTTCTCTTTAGGATTACAGGCTTGAGGTTGCCCATTTGTGTATATCTTTAGTTCTATATTCAACTATTATTTTCACCCGGTTCAATATAACGCTCTTTCTACCCGCTAGCGAAAGGGGGACAATTATTTTCATCGTCTTAAATGGAAAGTTTTCTCAAATTATCTCTACGGTACTAGCGGCGCTGTATGTTAACGTGGTCCAGGTCCCAAGGTTACATTAAGAAAAAAAAATAAAAGATTAATTCAGTTTTTGTTTTAAAGTGCCAGTCATGAATATTCACAGATTTTGAGGAATCTGCTTTTATTTCCGGAAGTTGTTTTTTTTTTTAGTGATAATGTCTTTATTGCCCTTCCAATTTACAGAACTCCTCGGTGAGAACAAATCGTTTACCTGGGTGTCTGCGTCTAAATACGTTTTCTAGCAAATTATACAATTTATTATCGAGCCATCCTAAACCTCGATCCACGCGATTGTGAGAACTTTGCTTCAACTGAGATATACGCCTATGCTTGCGGGCTCGCTTTGGACACAGATCTCAGCTCACTTGCCGAGCAAGTCCAGCACTTACTGCGTCACTTACAGCAGTCGTACACTTACGTGATAAAAAAAAGAAATATGTCACAATTGAAAATATTTGTAGTTTAAACATTCCGTGAAACATCTGCCTATTTAAAAAAAAAAAAAAAGCTTTTTTTTAAAAATAACTATTTGTGTGTTTGTGTTGCACCAAACGTACACATTGCACGCATGAACTAATCGCCAAATGTGACGTTTGCTTCGTGGGAGGCGAACGACCTCCCAAGCAAGGCCAATTTTATTTATTTATGCAATTAAACCTACATCACCATTATGACCTACATCGCCCTCACAGTGACACTAGAACTGAAATAAGAAATGATTACACCACAACAGCTTTTCAGTAAAAGGAAAAAAAAATACAAATACGAGCACCAAAAATATCAACGGAGGTTAATCTAGCAATGCCATGACTAAAACAGCAAGCTTTGCAGTGCCGTAAAAACGAGGTAGGAATGGCAGATACAATTTCAGCTGGAAGGTTATTCTACTCATCCGCTGTTCACGGGGAAAAAGTTTACTTCGATATTTATTATGGGCATGTATTCACGAACTTTATGAACTGTACATGGGACCTATAGGTTGGCTCTTGAATGCATTGTATTTTATTGAAGGAGTTTCTGCTATTAAATATGTTATCAACCAAGGACAGTCAAAGATATTTGCTTGACTACCAAAGGTTTTGGAATTATTAAAACGATGCGCTTGGGTGTTCCCAAACCGAAATCTTCTCATTTGCACGCAATATGTCAGTAGCTGACGGGAGAAATTTCTGCGACTCCCCAGCGACGAACCAAAAGTGTCCGGACGGGGCCCAGTGCGACGACGACCAGACGTGTTGTGAGCTCACCGACCACAGCTACGGCTGCTGTCCTTACAACCACGCCGTGTGCTGCCCCGACCTCGTCCATTGCTGCCCCGAGGGGTACACGTGTGACACGACCGAAATGACCTGCGTCCAAAGCACAAACCGCTCGTCGATCCCGCTGACAAGGCTCTCCCTTCGTTCCTCCCTCAACTCGGTCGAAGTTCAAGGTTAGTGCACAACACTCCCTACTTCTTTCCCCTTCTGCTTCACCTGAAAGGGGCGGTGCAGCGATTTTTGAACCTTATAATGAATACTTGACGTCTATGACATACGAAACACGCATTAGCGTTTTTACTGATTTATTGGTAGTCATAAAAAAATGAAAAAAAAACGACTAACGTTCTGCCCCTCAATTCGCAACTAGAACAAGCGGCCACGTGACCTGGAGCCGAATATATGCGGCCAATGTTTAGCATAGCCACGCGCTGGGGTCGGTAAAGCGCATGACACGTGTTGAGTTCCGGACAATGTTAGGACTCGGCTATTGTTGTCATTCAAGCGACTGGGCGCTAGCCACTAGCCGAATGCTTAGTTAACCACTGATTATCGCGAGCCTAAATCTAATGCTCAAGCTACGTTCGGGTGCAATCGATGAGCAGCATTCAAATATTGTCATTGTGGGACAATATATCGTCACTGGTAGACACCGCGACCACCAAAATACGTCAAATTATGCAAACGAAAGATTAAAAAAAAACGCTCGCTTTCATTTTTGAAAGTACACAGCATCAAAAAGATTTCTTGGTCAATGGCGCTGTGTGCGAGTACACTTGGTCCCACTATAGTCCGTTGCAACTCAACAAGGTGGAGCGAGGGAAAGGAAGGCCGGGTAGGAGGAAGCAGACGGAACGCGGGAGAGAGGAGGAGGTTCCCTCTCTCCTCTCCAGCGTTTCGTCTGCTTCCTCCTACCCGGCCTTCCATTCCTTCGCCCTACCTTCTTGAGCTGTAACTTACTATAGTGAAAGTAAGCTCGTGTAAAGTAAAAACAAAGCAAAACAAAAAAAACCACAACAAAGAAACAAAACAACATTACAACTTAATATTGTTGCCCGGTCTCTTCAAAGTAAACCTAAAGCGTCGCAATAACGCTTTTTCAAATGTTTAGCCCTTCAAAAGCGGTATTCACACGGGGTAGAAATCAAGTAAGGGTTATGAGTAAATTCAACAGCGTGCGCAATTCTTGCAGCCCAATTTAGTTGTTTTTCCCAATGACATTACCTCAGACGAATTTAGTGGGCTCTACATTTGACATCGATGCGATTAACGCCAAAAATTGTTTTGTGTCTAAATTGAGATTGTTTGTGCTACCCGATCATTCCTCCGTCCCTCCGCCGCAGAGTCCAGGCGGAGGGGCGTGATGCGCGTGCTAGTGATAAATCCCCGACAATTCTTCCTCGTGTGCATACAGCTTAACTGACTTACATAAGTATATCAATCACCAATAGAAAGTTAGAAGCAATCGCAAGGTGTCCAGAATATGACGCAAGTATATTGTGCGGTACGATATTGTATAAGTAAGGTTTCGGCTGCCTCTTTTTTACTCTAGAATTTCCTAGCACTGCCCGTGGCCGTTACACAAGGGGCTGAGGATTGGAAAATGCAAACAAGTTTTCCTTTGAACGCCACCGGGTTAAGAAGCTTAGATGACCAAAATGATTCACCGATTCTCCCTGGGACTTTTCAGATGAACATTGCTGTTTTGAGAAGTTAACGCCCCTAAATTTACGCTAAATTCTAAGCAGGCTTACTCAATTTACGGTATTCTTTAACGATAATGCTGCGGGGGCTGTCAAACTAAACAAGATTCGTAACTTCTTTCTTGTACAGTTTCTTCAACTAGAAACAGTCTTCTGAGCTATGTTAGATTGGGGCTAAGACAAAAAGCAGGCTTCTTTTTCTGAAACCTTTACAACGTTGGCACTGTTAGTAGTGAAGCTCGAGTGCCGGTATATCAGCAGGCAGTACTATTGATATGTTCGTGGTCTGGTTCCATATAGCCCCTTGTTAAAGGTAAACTTTACTTAAACAGATTGTCGTCCTCATGTAGTCGTACTGCAGTAATCCAGAGCTTTTTGTAGCAGTGCGTGCTAGTAAACTTTTTCATAATGTCAGCATACGCGATTTCTTTTTGTGCCCGGGCGCACTGGACCCAAGTAGCAAAAGTATTCGTCTCCACATCTAGACAGTGTTGACAGGTGCTGACATTAATTACCGGCCTGCTGTCGGCATATCTCTGGCTTGGAGCATTCAGTGCCCTCCTGATTTTACCCGTTGATTTTTAGCCGACAGTGGACACGAAAGCCGGCCCAATATGAGGTTCTCAGTATTTTCCGATATGAGCCCGGCATTGATTGCAGACTCAGAGCCATGAGTTGCTCCCATGCGGTATTGTGTACACGTAACTCGAAAAAAAAAAGTAAGCGTAAAAAATGCTCTAGGTTAAAAATATGCAATTATATTCTTAATCACTCGAGAAGAAAAGTAATTGGCTATTACTTTAAAAAATGTTAATATATTTTCGATTACTTCAGGTATTCAAAACGACAAATTTTTCTGCCAGTTTCCAAACTGGTCTTTCGTACTTTCCATTACAAGATTAGAGTCAAGAAATGATAAGCTGCTTATCTTTTTATTTCATCAATTTTGATGTGCCATCTCCTGCCATTAACTTAGTTCCAAGATTTTGTTTGGTAGAAAACTTGTAGAAACATAGGTCACCATTAGAAAAATGAGGGAAAAGTAGCAATAATTATAAGTATTTTTAGTATTTCGAAAGTAACAAAATTAATCTTGTGACTACTTTCTAAATATGTATTAAATTGATTACAATTTTACTTCAAAATGTGATCGATTTAAGTAATTATATTACTTGTTTTGAGTGACGTACAAGTCTGCTCCCAAGGCAGGTTACTTTCTTATTTCTAGAATATACCTTGTCCCCAACATCCTGATTTGACATCCGATCTGGTGTCTCTTTAAGCCCCCTTGGCTCTGTGTTCACCTAAACGTCGGTAATATTTGAAGGAAACAACAGTGAAAGGCGGAAAGAAGATGACTGAGCAATACTTCAAGCTCCAGAAACGCCTATTTTTATTTCAAACTCAGAAACCTTTTCTCATCGCGTCGATTTTCCATGGCGTGACTGAGAGTGACAGTCTCAAATTTATGCTTCCAAGCAAAGTACAGATTAATTGCTCACCTTTAGCCGATTAATTAGCCTTTTAATAGGCCTAATTCCTAGAAGATAGATTTGCTGAAAATCTCAGAAATTAAAAAAAAAAGCTTATAAACTTTGGAAACAAAAGTGCTTAAACTCGCTCAGATATGCATAAAAGTAAATTTAATGTAGCCCTTTTATTTCCTTCATTGGTTAATTTGACATATGTCAACATTTTGTGACTTGATGTTTAGTTGTGAAGAAGAGGACACAATGCACATAATTACTGATATCAAGTTGCCAGCCACTAATTGCTCTTTGTGTAAATTAAAGTTTTGAAATACGCGTTATTTTCCTAGAGTTATTGTAATTCAAAACACAACGAACTACTGAAAAAGAAAAGCAGCGCAGTGGTTTAATCTCAATCTCTTACTTAGGCAACGTAAACAAAAAACGACAACGCATAAAAATATTCTCCTGCAGGAAACTGGGCAGGAAAGTAAGAAATAAATGTTGGACATATTTTAGACACACTATATATGTAGATGTGCAGTAAAGGTTCCTAATTACTCATACGAAATTAATAGAGATTTATACCCTCCTCTGTTTTATCGTTTTCTATCTTCATCGTATTCCTTAATGTTTTTCTTTTGGAACTCTCTCCCTCTCTCTCTCTCTCTCTCTCTATATATATATATATATATATATATATATATATATATAACGGGCATGGTAGCGGGGGGCCAAAGTCGTGGGTATAACTGAAAAGAAACAAAAAACCTCGGTAAAAACATCAACAACGGACGACTTATTCTTCGACGTTTCGGCCGGAGTCCGGCCTTCGTCAGGAAGAACTTTTATAGATGAACGCGGTTGGTATTTATACAATGCTACCGTCAAGTCAAAGTTCGAAAAAAAAAAAAAGAAGGCAGGATGACGGTTGGAGTTTTCCTAAAAGCGGAGGGAGAGTTAGAGTCCGGATGGGCATACGTTTATACAATGCTACAGTCGGGTCCGAATTTCAAAAACGGTAATATGACGGGACGACGGAATGACTAAAACTCTAACTGTGATCCCACCGTTTTTTTTTTTTTTTTTTTTTTGAGTTTGGACTTGATCGTAGGATTGTATAACCGTCTGCCCATCCGGACTCTAACCCTCCCTCCGCTTTTAAAAAAACTCCAACCGTCATCCTGCCGTTTTTTGAAACTGGGACTCGACCGTAGCCTTGTATAAATACCACCCGCGTTCATCTGTAAAAGTCCTTCCTGACGAAGGCCGGACCCCGCCAAAACGCTTAAGAATAAACCGTCCGTTGTTGCTGTTTTCACCAAGGTCTTTTTTTCTTTTCAGTGATATATATATATATATATATATATATATATATATATATATATATATATATATATATACAGGGTGCGGCCGTAAAAACTTTCACATTTGGCACCCCTAGCAAAAATCGAGTTTAAAATATACATACCTGAAATTGGGCACACGAACGTCGTATATTCCAACGTTTTTTGCCTTTTTTTTTTTTCAGACGTCAACTCTGGAGTAGCGAATTATTAGAAAGATAACAAAAATGGCAGACGTGCGTTTCCTATGGCCTATACCTGCTCGTTCGCCGTCTGCTATCTGGTTCGCGACGCCGCTCCCAGGTGGCGCTCTGAACGCAAAAACGCGGGAAACGCCGCACGAAAAGCTGGTGTCGGGCGAGATAATCACGATAAAAAGTGATTTGAACGAAATATATAAACGATTGTTGAAATTACCTGTTTCCAGTCAAGTTCTGACAGATCGTCATGCAAGCAAGAAGACACTATGATGCGACGAGATCATTTATTTACAGCTGCTCGTCTTGTTGACAATTGCGGGTCGCTCTCGAAGACAGCACGCACCGCTTCAATTAGCTCCTCATTTTTCAGCAAGCTCTCACGTTCACTGACTGGATTCTTCTTTTTAAAGTCTTCTCCACTCACAAAACGATCCGCCCAACTCAAAACAGTCGGG